AAGTATCTCAACGGACCAAAGTCTTGGATCTCAAACTCCTTGGCTAACTGCATCTTAAGATGAGTCACCTCCTCCTCATCATTACTTGTCATAACTATGTCATCTACATATATAATAAGCACTATTACCTTACGTACATTGCGTTTGACAAACAATGTGTGATTTGCATTGCTTTGCCTTTACCCAAATGCCAGTATTGCCTTTACCCAAATGCCAGTATTGCCTTTAGAAATCGACCAAACCAGGTTCGAGGAGATTGTTTCAAACCATACAAAACCTTCTTCAATCTACAAACCTTTCCAACTGTAGTCTGAGATGAAAATCCTGAAGGTACATCCATATATACCTCCTCCTCCAAATCCTCGTGAAGAAAGGCATTCTTCACATCTAGTTGCTGTAAAGGCCATCCCAAATTAGTAACACACGAAAAAATAGCTCGAATGGAATTCATCTTCGCTACAAGAGCAAAAGTTTCTTGATAGTCTATTCCATATGTCTGAGTACATCCTTTGGCCACTAGTCTTGCTTTGTACTATTCAATCATCCCATCTGCATTGTACTTAATGGTGAACACCCACTTACATCCGACTGGTTTTTTTCCATTAGGAAGAGACACCAACTCCCAAGTGTTGTTCTTACTCAAAGCTTGCATCTCTTCTACCATAGCTACCTTCCACTTAGGATCATTTATAGCTTCTTTCCAACCCTACAGAATACATACAAAAGAAGGAGACGAAACAAAGGCACAATATGTAGAAGACAGCGAATCATATGACACAAATTTAGAAATGGGGTGTTGAGTACAGGCTCTAACCCCCTTTCTAAGAGCAACAGGGAGACTCAAATCATCAGCAACAAGGCTATCAACAACTAGTGAAGAAATAGGCTGAGGATTATTACCTGTAGAGTCGGTGGAAATTGGGCATGGAACTGGCATAAGAGATAATGATTGACCAGGTGGCGCAAGAGAAGTTTGCTCTTTCTGACGCCGTGAATAAGTCTTAAGATCAGCTCTGTCTAAACGACCACCAATATCAGTCTCCCTCTCAACAGAACTCTTAGGCTCCCCCTCACCACAAATAACAGCCCGCTGATTAGAAAGGAAAAAAGACAACTCATGCTGATATGATGCCGCCTCATCCGCAATCTCACCTATAACACTCTCCTCCTAAGGAGATAGCGAAGGACACGGGAAAAAAGACTCAGATTCACGGAAGGTAACATCCATACTAACAGCTTACGAGTGTAAGGGTCATAGCATTTGTAGCGCCCTTCTGAGTAGCAGAATAACCAAGAAAGACACACCGAACAGCCTTGGGATCAAGCTTCCCACGAGTACGAGGTTGGAGACGAACAAAACAGACACTGCCAAAAACCCGAGGGGGAAGAGAAGAAGTTGGATAAGCCACAGGAAGAAGTTCAAGAGGAAACTGGAAGTTGAGGACACTAGAGGGCATATGGTTAATAAGGTAAGCAACGGTAAGAATAGCCTCCCCCTAAAAAGACTGAGGAACATTCATGGGAAACAAGAGAGCGCAAGCAACTTCAAGAAGATGGCCATTTTTGAGTTCAGCAACTACATTCTGCTCAGGAGTGCCAACACAACTAGTCTGATAAAGAATACCATGCTCTGCGAGGTATGCTCAGAAAGCTCCATCAACATATTCAATCCCATTATCACTCCAAAAAATTTTTATAGTAGCATTGAAGAGATTGGACACCATTTTATAAAAAGTTTGAAACACGAGAAAACCTCATTTTTAGTGCGAAGTAAATAAATCCAAGTCACACGGGAATAATAATCAATAAATGTGACAAACCACCGATAACCATAGGTAGACACCACAGGGGAAGGACCCCACACATCAATATGAATAAGCATAAAAAGAAAAGTACTTCTTTTATTAATAGAAGGATAACAAGTACGTTTATACTTAGCAAGCTCACGAGCATCACAAACAAAGTTATTCCTAGGACAATCTTTAACTAATGAAGGAAAAAGTTTTTCTAAAATGCTAAAGGAAGGATGGCCCAAACGACGATGCCATTGATGAAGCAGACAAAGAGAGGAGCCAGAAGTGAATTGAAGAGCCTAAGAGAACAAAGTTGATGGAGAAGGAACGGCATCCAGAAAGTACAGACCACCTTGTGCTCTACCAATGCCAATCATTTTCCCCGTAGCCAGTTCCTAAAAGACACAATGAGTCGGAAAAAAAGTTACAGAGCAATTGAGAGCAGTAGTAATGCTACTAATAGAAAGTAAGTTAGTGGAAAAATTTGAAACATGAAGAACAGATGAAAGAGAAAGCAAAGAGGTGCAATGAACCGAACCTTTGTCGGAGATAGAGGATAAAGTGCCATCAGCCACTCTAACCTTATCTCGTCAAGAACCAGGGGAATAAGAATGGAAAAAACTAGAAGTACCCGTCATATGATCTGTAGCACTGGAATCAATGATCCAAGGAGATGACGAAGAGGTACTAAGTGCACTAGCAACAATACCTGTGTGGGCAAAGTTAGAAGAGGCAAAAGAGGAAGGAACCAAGGTAGATGAAGGATCAAGTCGAGCCATCAAATGTCTGAGAGAGTGAAGCTCATCCTGGGAAAGAGAACCAGTGTCACCCAAGGCACTAGCAGTAGTCTTCGATACATGTGCTTGAGGACGAACACCACAACCACGACCACGGCCTTGAGTAGGCCGACCGTGCAACTTCTAACAATGCTCTTTATCATGTCTATCTTTCCTACAATAATCACACTTCAACCTGTCCCGATCAACCAAGGGACCCGTACCACCACCTTGAGGCTGACTAGGCTTCACGTGACTTTAGGGCTACAACCATCGCTAATCGATCCTGAGTAGGGACATGTACCATAGCACTACGACAACTCTCGTCCTGCTAAAACAATGCATAAGCCTCACGCAGTACGAGAAACGTAGAGCGACCTAACACCTGAACCCGTATCTAATCATACTCCAAAGTTAGGCCAGCAGGAAAGCCATACATCCGTTTCTTTTCCACAACCTGTTGAAACATAGTAGCATCCGTGGAGCAAACTGGCTGGAAACTCTGGTAGTAATCTAGCTCTTACCATAAACCACTCAACTCCGCATAGTAGACTGCAAGAGAGCAATCCTTCTGAGCCAAGCCCCTAATCTTCTTTCACAATTCATAGGCATGTGCATCATTACCCTTTTGAGAATACATCTGAGAGGCAGCTATCCAGATTTTGTGAGCAATATCCTTTAAGAGAAAAGTCCGACTAATAGTAGGTTCCATAGAATTGATTAGCCAGGTCATAACTAAAACATTCTCAAAAATCCATTGAGCAGATAAAGCACTATCCGCAGTAGGTTGTTGGGTACTACCAGTAATATAGCCAGTCAAACGCTGGGCGACAATGGCAAGACTACAAGAGCGGGACCAAACTAAGTAATTAAGACCATTAAGCTTGACCGGACTAATCTGGAGACAAGGACTATCACCAAGAGTCATACCACGACTCAGTCCACTCTCCCCCTTGCCCTTAGAGTCCTGACCCCAGCTGGCAGCCATGAGATGAGAAAAAGAAAGCGCAAAAACACAAGCAGGATATCAAACAAATCCAAGAAACACCTAACCAGCACAGCAAATCACCTTCTAAGGCTAAAACAGTCCAAGATAAGCTCAGAACAAAGGAACCAGATCAACTAACAGCCAGAAAACTGAAGCAGAGCATCCGAACAGCAAGAAAAAGCCAAGGTAGGGCCAAAATTTATCAAACCAAGGACAGCACCCCTCTAGGGTTCCAGTCGGCTCCCCAGGATAGGAGAAGAAGGGACAAAATCAGCAAACAAAGGTTCAAACAGTGACTTTCGAAAAATCACCAAGTTTTGATGAAAAATCAAAAAAATTGGAAAACTCAATTAACAATGACCAAACAATCAAAAGGAGATCATAGCGTAATCACCCATTAAATTTCGAGCATACCTTTGTTTTTTGTTTTTTTGAGAGCAAACATTCTAGGATACAAGAATAGAAAGGAGACTGAGAGGAACAATCTTCAAGGAGGAAGATATTGCTCTGATATCGTGTTGAATGTATAGATGAGAAGAAGAAGAAGAAGAAGAAGAAGAAGAAGAAGAAGAAGAAGAAGGAAAAGAAACATAACGAGAGAAAGAGAGAAGCTGCTGTATTGTTTATTTGATTCAAAAGAATAGGGTTTCCGCCTTACACCTATTTATAATAATAAGCATAAATCATAAAGACCAAATTACCCTAACACTTAACAAGACCCACCTTTATCACATGGGCAGACTAATCCTAACATTTACAACCCATGCTACCCAAAAAGAGAGAATGGAAGAACCTAATTGAGAATTTTCCATTTGTTTCCTTCCACTTCATCACATCTTTCATCTCTAGGATCCATCCCATGCAGGAGCTTGAATCCACTGACTACAATTCCCAAGCCTATACCAGTATAGCCGATCAAAAGAAAAAAATACCTATACCACTCTAATGAATTAAGGCTCCCTTACTAAGATTGTAAACCCAACCCAAAATAAGGATCCGGCCCCACTCTTGAAAAATTAAATCCCTTCTGTTGAATACTTAATGTTTTTTCCTCAACCCCACTGAGACTTCATTTCTATTCCACACACACAAAGGACATTAACAGAAGACCTATGTGGAAACGTTCGGAATTTATTTTTCCAGAGTATTAGCATCAACTTGATAACCTATTCTCAGTAAACATGTATCAATCTTCATGATAATACATGGTTATGGCTAATAATCAGTCATATGGATGGATTGTTCCATTTCGAGTCCAAAAAAGGGACTGAAAAAGACACCGCTTGTGCAGTAATAAATTGAAGCCAAGCCTTTCCCAGTAGAGTTGGAACTAAACGTGACAGTCATGACATAAATAAGATCAAATGGAATGAGAAAAAAAAAAAAAGAAAAAGAAGGAAAATAACTTGTCTTTTCAGCAATAGTTTCAAGCTAACATATCACCTCAGAAGAATGTTGAGATATTACACCACCAGGCAGACTGCTACTACTCGTATCGGAAAATACATCTGCAGGTTGCCCTGCAATTAGCAGGCATAATGTCCGCAAAGGGGATCCCACTATTAATTGGCGAAGAGCCATTTGTTTCACAGTAGCACCATAAAACTGAATAAATTCAAAAGAAAGATGCAAATGTTAGCCTCAAATAAAAATACACTGATATCTTTCTCCATACATGGACTTGCTTGATAAATTAGGGACCAAGTCATTCCAAATATGTCTGGAGGACACCAAATGGAAGAGAGAAAAAAACAAACAAACAACCTGATCACCGAGTTGAGCTGCAAGAACAAGGGCTGGCCCCCACAATTGACCTTCTTGTGCACATTGTAAAGCCTCTCTTATTCTACCAGAAACCAGAAGCTTCTGGACCTCAAAGGCAGTAGCCTAGGGAACCAATAAATATTTATTAAAACGAAGAAATACTTGAACTCTGACAAATATTTGGAGAAACCAAGCAGAAGAGACAAGTCTACCTGAATCTCTCCTTCAGATGGCAAGTTCTGCAAGCAGCGACTAAAAGCACCATATTCACTAACATTTCTCTTGGCAGATGCAAAGAGCTTAGCGACAGAAGATTCTGGACAATCACTTTCCTAGTAAAAATAAACAACCCAGAAAAAGACCATTTCTCACTAGTCAAAACCAAAAAAGAGTTGTCAAAAAAGAGGAAATAAAAGGGTAAACAAATGGGTTCTTGACTTTTGTGGTACACACCATTTAGATAATAAAGCACTAAAATATCTATGTTTTCATGAAGGATGGCCAGAGAAAGTAAAGAATACACCCATGTGTGTGCACACCCACAAGGAGTTACAAATGATCTATGAACAGAATAAGGGAGAATGATAGTACATAGATATATTAAGAAACAAATAAGGGTAATTCAGGGATATACAAAAATCCATTTGGCATTGAGGAGAAAAAAGGCATCAAGACACCACTATAGGTGTTCCCTTTCTATATAGTATGGATAGAAGCTATATATTTCAAATTAGCTATATATTTCAAATTGGCTAGTGTTCAAGCCAATCTGAAAAGATTAATCATGGCTTCATCAAGAGAAGTAGTTGAATATATAGAAAACGGAAAGGCTCCAATAAATATAAAATAAAGACAAGAAGCCAGCTCTTCATATTATAAGCAGGATTAAGAGGGCATTACAGATAAAATAAGGTGGGAGAGTAAGGTAAAGTTGAGATAGAATCATAAGATAGGATAGGCTTTCCTCTCATCCTTATTGGGAAGGGATAGCAAATGAGAGAAGATTTGATGACCAAAATATCAATGCTGCCTTTTTCTACCTCTTTGTATGTGCACGCGCACAGACATTTACGCTTATATATATAAGTAACCAATGCAGCATGTTGCAATACACCAGGAAGATGTTCAAAAGCAATACAAAAGAGAAATGTGATATTTCTGCCCTTCAAGAAATGTGCTATTTCTCCCCTTTAAGAGGCAATAGCATTAGCAAATAAAACCAGTGCTCAAGCTCCCAAACAGTATTACTCTATAAAAATGGCAAGCAAGAGATAATATAAACTTAACAGAGAAACAAAAACAAACAGTTAAACCAAGTAGACGAAAATTTTACCTTCATTGTATGGTCAGTGCCGAAGGGAGATCGAAGTTTTCCATAATATTGGCATGCTATTTTTAGCAAAGAGAAGAACAACCTCAAAAGTTCACCTTTTCTGTAGTCCATGTCTGGAGATTTACAATTTGCAATCTTCTCATCAATCCATTTATTTACCTCTCTACTTCCAACATTCCCACAAACCAATGGACTGGGAAAAGATTGCTGACACAACGTATATAAATAATCACAAACTCCTGATCTAGTGCCAGAAGCATCAGTTTTGTCCATCGCAACATCCATCAAGTTGAGAATATTAATTACACTTCCATCTGAGTCCTTTACATGAAATTGACAAATCTTTAATAGCAATATTGAAAGACAAATAAGCTTAGATTTCAACAACAATCTATATAATAAAAAATGGTTTTTGAAAACGCCTCTCTAATACAATTGGTTAGAACAGTTCAGATCGATTCATCTATGAGATTAATGGTTGGATTTGCTTGACCAAAATCAAATTTCCTGCCCAAAGAACTTTCAACAATTTCCTAGCACCTTCCTCTCTTTCCTTTTTTTTTTTATTCCGATTCTTTTTTGGGTAAGTATTTTTTCCTATTCTTTTTCTCTATTTTCTCTTCCTAACCATTTGCAATTCACTTCCCATCTCTCTCCCTCTCTTTCTTTATTTTCTACACAAAAAGTAAGATTTTGTGTTTGTGTAAATTTGAAAGAGTTGGCTATAATAATTTATTGTTCTATATTGATGGTTTTTTCTTGCATGTATTTTTTAATGTGGCATAAAAATATACATTACACATATATTTATTTTATTTTATTTTACATGTGCCATGCAAAATTTCCTTTTTAATTAATAAATGTGTCAAAAATATTTTGATAATTTTTTAGATGTCATATGTATTTTTTCAGTTTTCAGCAAAAAAAAAATTTTTTGAAGTAAATATTTTTAAATTTTAAAATTATATAAGACTAAAGTTACATTTGAAATTTTCTTTTAAAAATTTTATATTTCAAATTATATATGGATTAAGTATGATAAGTTAGATATGGCTATTTTTTATTTATTTTACTTTTATATTAAGATTTTTAAATTTCAAAATTTTAAATATTTAGATGGACTAATACATATTTCTATATGTATATTTCTTAAGATTTAATTTTTTTTAAATAAAAAATTTAGATTAAGGTTTAATGTTTAGAGAGCCTTTCAGACGAAAAGTACATTTTGATTAGTATATAGCACTAGCGAATTACCCTTGCCTAAAGGTACTCATAACACAATTTGACAATAATTAAAATCAGTCACTCCCATGCAATTGACCTACCCCCTCTCAATTTATATGTAACCACAATTTACTTTAGATGAGTAAAAAAATATTGTATACAACCAAATGACCAAAACTGAGTTCTAGAACTAATTAAAAAATTAGCCTTGATTTGTGTAGAAATTTAATGTATAAAGAGAAATAGAGAATTGTATTATTGATTGATATAATGTTATTGATTTTTATTACAATGATTCATGATTCCTATATATAGAAGAGGGTGAGTGTGTAGTAGGTAAGGAGTAGGTGAAGTGGAGGTGGTAGTGGTGTAGTGGGTTAGGTTTAGTGGAGTAGGTTTAAGTGGGTGAAGTAGGTGGAGAGTATGTGGATTTAGTGGGTTAGGTTTAGTGGAGTAGGTGATGTGGTAGTGGTGTAGTGGGTTAGGTTTAGTGGAGTAGGTTTAAGTGGGTGAAGTAGGTGGAGAGTAGAAAATTAGCCTTGATTTGTCCTTGAATCGAGCTCTTCAATAAATAAAATAAATAAAAAATAAATTGGTCAAATAAAAAGATAATAGAAAAGAGAACTCCAAACATATTTTAAAAAATGTGTAGTTAAATTAACGTTTAGTCAAGAACATAAGTATTCCATTGGCGTCGTTAATGTCGGATCCACCAGTTGAATACACAGCCATCATCGCTATGTTAAAATTCAAAAGATTCATAAAAAAACCTAAACCAAAGGCTTAAAAAAAATAATAGAGAAGAAAATATTTAAAAACAATTTCACAATACCTCTACTTTTGGCCAAGCCATGAACAAGGCTCTTGGTTAAAAAGAGCATTTGACTTAATATATAGTATAAATTGAGAAATAATATTAAATTGGAAAGAGGACGGGGTAGGTCAATTACATGGGAGTGATTGATTTTAATTGGTGTAAAATGGTGTCGTGAGTGCCTTCAGGCAAGGGTAATTCGCTAGTAATAAACAAAACAAAGAAAGAAAACAAATTTTAGAAAACTAAATTTAGGGAGAAGAGAGCAGGGGGAGTTTAACCTGGCATCCATATGTTAAATTTTTTAAAGAACTGTTATCCTTCATGACTATAAGTTTTCCACCAAATCCAAAAGTCACCAGAGCATGTGCAGGCCGCCCAGCAGATGACCTCCCCTCACTGGAGGCATGAGGGAACTGAGTACCAAGTGGCTGCTGTAAGAAATTCGGCAATTTCTGACTATCAAAATAAGCGGGTGAGAAATGCATCTGTTGGCTTGGCTCCTGTTTACGCTGGTTACTATGCTGCGAGAAGTTTACACGTTGTCGCGCAGGAATAAAGGTTTGAGACCCAAGAATGCTATTACTATTAACAACACTACCAAAACTCTGACTTGTCTGTTCAGGTAAAGTAGCTGTTTCAGAGGGTTTGAACCACATTTGTTGATTTTGTTGGTCAGCAGAGTTCGTCGCATGATAACTCGAATCATAAGGATTATGTGATTCATAATTATCACTAATACTAATAACCCCGCTGTTAGGAAGTGACGCTGTTTTCCACGTATTCCTACGCTGCTGATTGGAATCACTCACGGATCCAGCCCATCCCATAACTTTGCCTTGGCTACTACGGTCTTGTGACTCAAACTTCCCAACTTGATCAAAGTTACCATGAATTCTATGATTTTCTTCAGGCAAGAAGTCAGCTGCCGAAACAATCCCATTTTGACTCTGCTGGTTATGATGGACATTGGTTGGCTGATTCATAGCTGATGTATAAGATTCCAAGAGCCGCCATTCTTGGGCAATTGTGTCATAGTACCAACCAGGGTATTGGGGATCAAACACCATATGGGCTGGGTACTCCACATTCGGTTGTGAACCTTGGTTCCAATCAGTAAAACTGGATGTTGTACAGTCTACATTTCCCAAAACAGACTGAGCTGTTTGCTGAAAATAGTAATCATCTGACCTTTGCTCTGTAACTACACCATCACCAGCTGACACAATACTGGCATTCAAATTCTGCTGGGTATCCATAGTTGCATTATAACCCTCCAACTGATGCCACTGCCCAGTGTTTGGGTCAAACCTCCAGCCGGGATAGAGGTTTTCCCAGTATTGACTGCTATTTAAGTCTTGACCATCGATGGCCTGTTCAATTTGTGACCCATAATTTTGACCTTCTTTATGTTGTATAGAACTCAATGAACTAAAATCACCACCCATATTTTCAGGAACACCAACCACATTGTTTGATGCTACCCCAGAATTGCCTGCCTCCTTTCCACACAAATCGCCTGAACCCAGTTCATTGAAAAAATCTGAAAACGACCCAGTTCCACTGCCATTATGAAGATGTGAAGCGGAGTTAAATGAACTCCAATCAACCTCCTTAACACCCATTCCACTTGATCCACTATTGTTGCTACTTTTTGAATCCAACTCACATTTTTCGTGCAATGCAACATCATTCGATTGAACTACATTAACAGGGGTCAATGAAACACTTTCCTCAGCAATCAAATTGTCCCCATGCCCATCCAAGGATGCTGAAACAGTCCCACCACCGGATTCCCTTTCGCTATTGACCCCAAAATCAACATTGCCACTAGAATCTACTTTGGCGGCATCAGCTTCACCTATACTTAACTTTGAAAATGCATTCGTTTCGTCTGACCCTTCATTTTCAAAAAGACTAGGGCCAGATCTAGATATACCAGTATCACCTTCATCAACTAATATATCAAAAAAATTCTCATCCGTCTGATCCTCCACCTGTAATGGAGGTGACGCCATCTATATAATAAAAAATAAAAAAATAAAAACCTTACAATCCCTACCAATTTCAATCCTCTAGTTCCTAATTATGACAAAATTCAATCAAATTCAACACAAATACATAAGGAATGGAGAGAAATTTGCTTAAGCCCAGAAATTTGCTCAAATGAATGACAATCCACCATCTGAAACAAAACACATTGCACAAAACAACATTAGCACTGGTGTTGAAGGTGCTAAATCAATCAAGAAAAGAACCAAAAACAACCGATTAGTTAGGGTTTTTGCGATCTCAATACAATAACAAAGAGAACGATTTATGGCTTAAATTAAAGGTATTCCTCTGAGTACTGAAACCTGATCCATTGGAGAGAGAGAGAGAGAGAGAGAGAGAGAGAGAGGCTTACCCACGACGATCTGCGAGGTGATGAGAGAGAGAAGAAGCAGAGACAAAGCATGGATTTCGCACCAAGAAGAAAACTAGAGTCACCGAAGCTTTGTTTTGATTTGATTTTATTATTTTATATATGCATATGTATATGTATATGTATATGTGGGAAATTCTATATGTATAGGTCCATTCCACGTTAATGCATGTGAAGAAGTTAGGAAGTCCACTGTCCACGTAATGAACTCGGCCTAAATTGACGAAATGATAGTTGGAAAGGTTTATTACACTTTACATTCTTTGGATGTTTGATTGGATGGATTAGACTATAAAATTAGAATTATTAATTTATAAACTTAATTATTTTAAATTTGTTTTAATATTTTGATTTATGATATTAATCTATTAGATAATTAATTTAATAAATTTATAGAATTATTAGTAATGTGGTAGATGTGAGATTATTAATCTAATGAATAATTTATCCTATTAATCTAATTGGATAGTGAATATCACACTAATTTGATAGGATTATTAATACTTTAAGGTCATGTTTGTTTGGACGGACTGGATTAGCATTCCCATGACTAATAGTCTTAGAACTACCAATCCGTTGGATTATGTATCATATCTTAACTAATAGTCAAGTTTAGAATAATTAATCCATACTTTAATTGTTTAACCAAACATCGAATTAATAATTTTATTGGACTATTAATCCAATCCCAAGCTCATGTCCACCCAAACAAACATGACCTAATATTAATCTTATGAATCAAACATGGCCTAAGAGTGTGTTTGTTGTGAGGGATTATTCCATAGGATTGGACTATTAGTCCATCCGGACTAATAGCCCATTGTTTGGTTCAATTTTTTTACTCTAGATTAATAGTCCATCCGGACTATTAGTCCCTCGTATGAGGGATTATTGTATCCTACAAGGAAGGTGGAATTATTTCCATGGGATTATTTCCATGAGATTGGTATCTCATGGAACTAATGTGTGAAATGTCCATTTTACCTTTATGCTATTACTTAATAAATAATTGGAAAAGGGTAAAATAGTCTTTTGAACATTTATAATTTATTTTTTTAGTATTGTTAATTTAAAATTATATATTAAATAAAAAATATAAATTATAAATTTAATTTAATTGAAAATAATAAATTAAAAATGGGTATGGCTTTTGTCAAGTCTGGGGTCGGACGGGGCCCACCACGGGTCCCGTTTTGATAATCTGAACCGTTCAATGTGTAGAAATCGTCGAGCACCATATATCCATAAAAAATTACGTTGATCAGATATCGATAGCTATGTGATCAAAATAGTTTTTTGTCAACCGTTAATTTGTTCACCGTTCAATTTTTTTATACGAAACTAATTTGATCATATAGCTATCGATTCCGATCAACGTAATTTTTTACAAGTACATAGTACTCGACGAGTTCTACACATTGAACGGTTCAGATTATCAAAACGGAACCCGTGGTGGGCCCCCACGGGCCCAACAGCACGGTCCAGTCCGACAGAAGCCATACCCAAAAATTATGGCCTTATAAATTAAAAAAATTTAGTGTTGCTAAATTATAAATTATAAATTATAGATTAAAAATTTAAAATTATATATTAAATAAAAATTATAAATTACAAGGGTAAAATAGTCTTTTGAACATTTATCCTTATCCAATCCAATCCGTCCAACCAAACACTAGATTTACTAAAAATAGTCAATTCCAGACATCTAATCGCATGACTAAACAAATATTGGATACAAATCCAATCCAACCAAATAGTTTAGAGACAATGTATCTCAGGACTAACAGTCTGATAGATTACACAATCCCCCCTTATTCAGTCCGTCCAAACAAACACACCCTTAAATTATCATTAAATTATTAATTAAGTTTACTAAATTTCTACAATATATAAATTAAAATCTCTTTAATTTTTAAACTATCGATTCAATTTATTAAGTTTCTTAAAATATTTAATTTAAATCTATTTAGTACTTAAAATGATTATAAAAATAAAATATAAGTTTATAAATATTATAAATTAATAAAAGATCTTATCTAGTTAAAATTTTATTTCAAAAAAAATTTAAATTTTCATTCTGTTTTTGAAAAGTAGACATTAATTCTTACAATGAATTTCCTTTATAAAGGTAAGAATAATTATCTAAAATATTTTCTTACTTATTTTCTACAATGACGGCACACTTACCTTTATCTAAATTCTTTTTATAACTTAATTAATATTAAGTTGTTCTATTATTATTTGTAGCGAAGAGTTATTATTTAAACTATATAATTGTACTTCTTCAATATATCTAATACCAATAATTTTATTGGCAAGATTGAGAAACCAAACTCTAATATTAATTTAAACGCAACGAAATAAAATACCTTTTAAAAATAAAATAAAATTTTAATATTTTTCTGTAATAAAATCTTAATTAAATAGGGTCTTTACTAATTTATAATACTTATGGGCATATATATTATTTTTATAATATTTTCATGGACTGAATGGGTTTGATTTCTCACTATTACTAATAAAATTATATGAGAATTAAATATACTAAAGAACTAGAATCAGATAATTTGAATAATAACAATTTACTGCAAATAATAATGGAGTGAAATATTACATTAATTAAGTTATAAAAAAAATGGTGAAGTAAGTTTCAAAATTTGATCTTGTTGATTGTTTAGTCCTCCCTCTTTCTTTCTTTTTTTATGAACCCAAAAGTCACATTAAAGTGAAACTACACAGCGAGGTCGTCACTTATACGTTTAAGTGTTATCTTTTAGAGATAACAGTGGGTTTCTTCAAATGTGAAATTACACATTTTGGCAATCCGCACTATAGAGGTTTTAAATTTTCTTTCATTCTAGAATAAATCCCACATTACGAACAAGAAAGTAACACTCCAATGTTACAATTCAATAATGTAACACTCCAATGTAACACACTAAAAACCTCCTCAGTGTATTTTTTTCCAAACGTAACAACGTAACATTTCAAAAAAAAACTCCTAATGTATTTTTTCTAAACGTAACACTCTAATATAACATATAAAAAAACTCTTTACTATTTTTTTTCTAAACCTAACACTCCAATCAATGTAATCCCAAGCGTAACACTCCATTGTCACACACACAAAAACACTAAAGAACTCCTTGGTGTACTTTTCCTAAACGTAGTACTAGTTTGAAACTATACATTTACTCAAAACTTACTAAGAAATTTTTGTACTCTTTTTGGAATAGTTTGAAGAATCTCACATTCTTTTAGAATGGTTTGAAGAATCTCACATCCTTTTGAAATGGTTTGAAAAATCTCACATACACTAAGGAGTTTTTTTGTATGTTACATTAGAATGTTATACTAAGAAATTTGTCTAGAATGTTACATTAGAGTATTACGGTTGGAAAAGTACACCAAGGAATTTTTTGTGTGTTAAATTGGAGTGTTACACTAAGGAATTTTTTTGGAATGTTACGTTTAGGAAAAGTATACTAAGGAATTTTTTTAGTGTGCCATATTGGAGTGTTATATTTGAATGTTATATTAGAGTATTACAATTTGAAATTATACATTTGCTCAAAGTTTACTACGAAAATTTTGTATTCATTTTAAAATGTTTGAAGAATCCCACATCCTTCAAAATGTTTGAAGAATCTCACATCCTTTTAAAATGTTTAAAGAATCTCATATTTCAAGTCATTTTTATATTCTTTTTGGAATGTTTGAAGAATCTCACATTTCAAGTCATTTCAAATAAAAAGGATTTCCATATAAAAATTAATCTCAAATTTGATTCCTATAGATTGTGTATCTTACCCCGCGCATGCACGTGCACACACACAAAATAATAATAATAATAATAATAATAATAATAATAATAGAAATGAGGGTATAATCATAAATCTAAATTTTAAATAATGTATTAAATTTACTTTTCCAAAATCAATGGACTAATTGGTTTATAAAAAATTCTTAGAACTAAATGGATCACTATTTCTCAAGATGGATTTATAGGTAAATTTTCCTAAAAAGAACTTAATGAAAAACTTAATTGTGTATCTTACCCCGCGCATGCACGTGCACACACACAAAATAATAATAATAATAATAATAATAATAATAATAATAGAAATGAGGGTATAATCATAAATCTAAATTTTAAATAATGTATTAAATTTACTTTTCCAAAATCAATGGACTAATTGGTTTATAAAAAAATTCTTGGAACTAAATGGATCACTATTTCTCAAGATGGATTTATAGGTAAATTTTCCTAAAAATAACTTAATGAAAAACTTAAAGACAATCAATTAAAAATTATAATATAAAATTAGATAAAAACAAGCAAGTAGCCATTGTAAAAGATAAATAAGAAAATATTATAGATAATTACCTTTACTCCTTCAAAAGAAATTTACTAGAAGAACTGATGTCCACTTTTTATGAACAAAATAAAAATTTAAGTTTTTTTCAAAAATAAACTTTAACTAGATAGGTTCTATTATTAATTTATAATATTTACAGACATTTGTTTTATTTTTGTAATTCTTTCAGCAACTATATAGGTTTGAATTAATTATTTTAAGGATTTAATAGATTCAATCGATAATTTAAGTACTAAAATATAATACACTTTAGGGACGTAATAGACTTAGGCCCCCTCGCAAAATGGTTAGAACTAAATTAGTCCACTAAAATATCAAATAGACTAAAAAGTCAATAAGATAAAATGTCACGTTCAAATCATATTTACTTTTTTTCTCACAAAACTACAAAAAGCCATAAGTTCATCCCCAATGAAATTTTTTTAACCAAACTAAATAGTCAAAAAATCAAAAGTCAAAGTAAAAAAATTCTTCCCAAAGGCTCCATCAATAATTCATAAACTAAATAAATAATTCAGCTATAATTTAGGTATAGAAAGTGTAATATACCCTTGTAAATTTTTATATTATGCAATGGACAGTTTGGATGTGGCTTTTAAAGCAAGCTTTTCCTTTTAGAAAAATAATTAAATAAAGGGCAAATCACAAATACATTTCTTGGGATTTATTTAAAATATGAATTGCCTCCTATAGTTTGAAAAATTACTAATACCTCTCTG